AGCATATCTATTCAATTTTATAAAACCAGTTTTACAAAATAACAACACAGTTTTTATAAACCACAAGTGAAACAAAAATTAGATTGCGTCTAACTTCTGTGCATAAAGATAGTTCTCTAATACTAATATCCTCATACTCTCTAATTTCAGATGTAATACTCCCACTGACCTAACTACAACCTTGGCATCAGGTCAAAAGATAAATATATATCCATATCATTAAGGCTTCTGGATTTCTGAAATCCTTACGATGAATTGCAAACATGTTTAGTGGCTCCAGAATCTATCCATCAGGAATTAATAGATGCAACCACATAACATGGCTCAATGATTAAATATATATTTTCCTATGCCACGTCATTGCTTAGACAGTTCGTCCTATAGTGTTTTAGTTAACGGTAAAATAAACAGTTTCATTCGCCCTCAACATACACTGCCTTATTCCCTTTAACCTTTTAGATACCTATGTTTTGTGCTAGTCTAGTCCTATTATCATCCTTCTTCTTTGCTTTGCCCGTCCACTTGGGCCTAGAAGAAGATGGTATAGACTAGGTTAGATTGATAGGAACGCCCATACTCTTGATTATCCCTTCATCTGTTACCAATTCTATAAGAATATCAGCGAGTGTGAACTCAAACTGATTCCTTATTTAGTTCACTCTAACAGAGTCGAACGAGTTTGGTAACAAGGTAATAATCATGTCAACTTGAAACTTACTACCCAAGTCAGCCCTATTGATCTCCAGCTAATTTTTAAATAATAAACAATCATTTTTCAAAATTCGATTTCATACTGGAGTTCCTTAGGCTATCTTGATGCTATTCAAGTCTGACATAGTACTTTGGCATACTCTCTATCTAATCTCACCAAAACATCTTATTGACATTTAACATGATGCTTGAAGAAAATAAAATAATGTAAATGTTAGCTTTGGAACGTATTCGAGGTAAACTCTACAATATTGCACCAATTCATCTCATTTGTCTTATTTCACTTATTCAAAGCATTAATGTTCTCTTGAGTATCTTAAAGTAAAAGGATTAGGTTTTAGGAGTAGTAAATACATTTGTACCACTTACGTTGTGAATAAAATATCTAAATTCCTTTTCCAGTCATTATAAAAGAGGTCCACATACATTGAATATGTAAGCAAGCAGATAAACTGGATTATACATAATTAATCTGAATATAAATGCATTCATACAATATGCAAGGTGAATTATTAATACTATCATGCATATTTAAAATTAAAATGAGTTTGTTAGCCACATAATATAACAAATCTCAAATAGAATAAGAGATCATTATTATTATTGGTAAACAATCCATTTTAATTAATGTGGGTCCCTCAACTTTGTAGCATAATAAATCATCCAATCAATACGTCAATAACTTATCCTGACGGAGGAGTTCATTATTACTATTGTTGGGATTCATTTGCTATTAGGTGAGCACTTCCATTAAAATAATAATATGTGGGTCCCTTAACCACTGCATGAAAAATCGGATAACCAATATGCCAATAACTTATTCGGTTGGCGAAGTTCATTATTACTATTGGCGGGCAAATCCCATCATCTCCATATCTTTTAAGACAATGCCTTGTCTATCTATATGAAATGATTCCCCAATTATGTTTAGCCTTTCTAAAATTACCTAGTGTAGACCACTCCGTTGGGGAGTTAACACTATTGATTTTAGATTGAGTGTATAACGTTATTAAAACTCTAATGAAAAATAAAAATATTAAATATCTTGTCAATATAATCTAGACTCTTTAAATCATGCGTAGGGCCTTATTTTTAAAGATTTAATTACAATGAACATTTAATATTATTGTTTTCATGAGACCACCATTCTTGTAATATTAAGACTCTTCAAATCATGCGTGGGGCCTTATTTTTGAAGATCTAATTACAATGGTATTAATAACGAAGGCCATGGGGTAATGTATAAAAATCCCCGCTCCTACTCAATTTTTAATCATGCATAATTAGGGTTTTCATTTTATTCAAATACATGATATGATGCATGCAAAACGTCTTGATTTTAATCCAATTAAATTTAGAAAATATTTAGACTTTAAATGATTCACTAATATTTTCATAATTTAATTAATATAAATCAAGTCATTTAATTAAATATCATGGATCCAATGCATGAATAATAATTAATACACAATTATCTATTCCATGCATTACATACATCAATAAATGACAGATAAAGCAAATAAAAATGGCCAATGGAATCAGCTTTTAACATTCTATTGCTCTAAGTATTACGCGAGGGTCTATCAAAAACTTGTAAACACCTGCAGAGGCTTGTACGCGTACGAATTGGTCAAAACAGCACCTGGAATGGCAAAACAGCACTTGGAACACGCCCCGGAGGACCCCGCATGCACTGGAAAGCGCCTGAGGGATGAAGCAGCGCGTGGCACGGGGCCCCACGCGCCCCCACGCGCTCGCACGCACCTGGAAAGGGCGTGCGCGGACGCGCCTGCACGCGCGCGTGGATGTTGCAGCTTGGTCTGGCGCGTGCTAAACACGCGCTAGCAAGCTACTGGATACCGGCGCGTGAGCACGCGCCGGAAGGTTCTTTGGTCTGCGTCCCTTGGCGCGTGATGTTCACACTCCCCTTCATTGGGTGTAGCTTGAACTTGTCGTGTACCTGCGCTACATAGGATCCTTTCTTAGCTTCCATAAATTGATCCAATGGTTCATGATCCAGTTGCAATAAAAGCTAGTGTACCATGCTACACTAGATCAACAGACTTTATTCCGGCGCCATTCTTGCCGTCGGCAACACTCCGGTCGCCGGAAAATCATCGAAAATATCCAGAAAAATTAATAAAAATTTCCAGAAATTAAAGTAGGCCTTAAAAAAATTCCAGAAAAATTCCAAAAAATTTCTAAAAAATCTCAAAAAATTCCTGAAGCCTAATTTAACCCTCTTGGACCTTCTTGAAGCTTCATAGCACATTTTGATGAATATTACATGGCTTTAAATAAATTTACAATTTGAAATACAATGAAAAAAATTAAATTACATCATTGAACTTTCAAACGGCTAAATCAAAGCCTTAATTACATTCATCCAAAGATAAAATTACATTCCAATAACCTATAAGCTTTATCCATGGCCCAAACATTCATCAACATTCATCCAATCACAAATATACATACATCATGATCATATAAAAATATATACATATGCATATATAAATTTGGATCCATGAATGATGATTTTCATAAAATTATGATCTCTAATAATGAATCAAACCATGCTCTGATACCACTGTTGGGAAACGTGCTAGTTTTAAAAACTTTTCGAGGGATTTTAATTCATAGATCTTGATTCATTATACTGAGACAAGTTTTATGCAAAAATAAAATATGATGTATCATTCAATTAAAAGATTGAATACTTACATCAAGGTTTGAGTAAACCTTAAATCTCTCCTCTAAAATGAATGTTCTCAGTTATTGTAAATCCCTTTTGCTAGACACCTTTTCCATGGATCTTCATCTTCTTGGTAATGGTCTTGCATTTAGGAATCACTCATAAGCCTCCATGAATGACCTTGGAAAACTAGACTTGTGGGAGCCTCCATTAGATGAGAACATAAACCCTAATTTTCTAGAGAGAGAAAATATATTCCTTTTTCTTTCTACTAAAAATCACACTTAAAATATACATAGACCATGTATATTTATAGGCAACATAAAGATAAAGAAAAGGAAACAACTAATCCTTCTCAATCTCTAATTCACATGTCTCAAATCTAATATGATTCCAATATCAAGTTGGGCTACGAGTGAGAATCTATTGGGCCTATTATTTTATTGGCTACAATGAATTAATAATTGACCCGGTCTATGGACCCAATTCAATTAATTCATAAATTAATTTCTACTCCACTAAAAGAAATTAATTGAACTCCAATTAAATAATAAATAACCTCTAAGTCAATATTGCACTTTGACCTCTCTATGCATAATTAGTTATCGGATAAATAAAGCCATCAATCCGACTACTTAATTAATATATTTATTTTGGTACCTTTGATTATTTCTGGCTCGATCACAATAAAACATTTGTTTGACAAAAATAATAATTTAAATAAATAAATATATAATAAATCATTTTGTCTAAAAATACACGAAGGCCTTCGAATTTATTTTGTAATCAACCATAATCAATACAAAATAAATACAAGTAGTAATGATGCAAATATTGAAAATATAACCCTCTAACTATTAATTACATAACTACCCAAAAGTATCGGTCTAAGGATCCCGAAGAATCCGCCGAACAAATCAAAGTAATTATTAATTAATAAAAGAGTCTATAATGTTCTCATGCTTAAGAGTCAAATGCTATGACGGTGATAGGGAGCAATTGCATACGACGGCTCTCGCAATATATTTCAACCTAACGCGGATCCAGTTCAAGTCTTAATTAATTATGAGTTCATCCATAATTACCGACTATGAATAATTTATAATTACTATTTATATATCATGCATTGATTGCCATCACATACATATATATAAATATTTCTCGTACTCATAGGGACACTATCAATTTCATAGTGAATCGAAATACAATACATTGAATTCACCAATTGTATAAAACATAAATATTTCATAAACGTCAGGAACATATGTCATATAAATCCCAACAGATTCAAGTATTAGCAAAATACACTCTTAAGCAGCTAGAGATTGATTTCCAACAAGACATTGATTACCTACAAGCTCCTCCCCTCGTTTACAAATTAGGAGTTCAGTGAGGGCCTGTTGCGGCTGTGTTTGAGTGAATTGTTTCAACTTAAAAAAAAAATAAAGTAATAATAATAATAATACAGTAATAAAAATCAGAGTTTGATGACAGGCTTAAAAAAAAAAAAAAAAAAAAAAAAAAACCAAAGGACCAAAGTCCAAACCAATCTTCAATCTTGCAACTGGCAAGGGAATCTTCTTGATGTCATCATTTGTAAAGTTGCTTATAGGGCACTTTCAAGGCTTCAAAAACTCCCAGTAACCCAATCGAGTCCCAGAAAACACCACTCTCCCTCTCTCTCTCTCTCTCTCTCTCTCTCTCTATAAACCACCTTATTGCAAGAAATAATGTTCAAGATTGGATCAAGGTCTCTTTCTTTCTTTTTTTTTATTTTATTTTTTTCATTATTACAAAAGAATTCATTTGATATGGATATCCTATGTTCTTGATAAATGGAGCAAACCCCAAACTACCTGTGCATAAGCCCAATTCCCTCCACCCCTATACGACCGTTTCTGCTTGTGTACGATCATTAGAGAAGCCCCATTTTTCAAGTTATATAGGTGAAATGCCCCAAAACCATGCCTGTATTCTTTCTTTCCATCAGCTATTGTATTTGGTCTATTATAAGGATCTGGGTATAATATGTATATGCATTATATATATATATATATATATATATATATATATATATATATATATATATATTCACACACACACACACACTCTATACAACTGATTTTGTGCTGCTTTTGTTTATCAGCAGAAACATCTCCATTTCAGGAGCTTCACTTGGTCCAAGCTTCAAAAGGCAATTTTCTATCCATATAGGCAGGTAAGATTAATACACCATCCCCTTTCTCTGTGTGTGTGTTTGGGTATGAGATAGATTTTTAGTGGTTGATTAGCTCTTATAAAATTAATTGAGTAATGAAATTCCCTGAAAATTTTGCCCTTTTTGTTTCTTGTTTCACTGGTCCTTTTTGGTGTGAAAAGAATTGTATTTTAGTCATATAATTAAGGGGTTAGTTTGGTTATGTGAATAATGTATGATTTTCTTGTACAAACTATACCAAATAAGATTAGCTTTCTCTTGTGTCTTTTTCCTATCTTCTACCTCACATGTGGACTGACCTGTAACTGTTAGTTATAATAAACAATATATATATATATATATATATATATATATATATATATATATATTATTAGCCATTATGCTCATTATAGTTGTTAAATAATGCATATGATATCATACATTATATATGGTCATGTATAATTATATGGTGGCTTTTAGAGTCAAGCTCAGAACCTTTCTGACTCTAATACAATGTTTAATTTAAGCATTTATAACCACTAATATTCTATATGTATGGTTATGATTAAATAACATTTTATTTCTTTTCCTGTGTAAAATTGACACCATTATAGGTCTCATTAGAAACATTAAGTCTACCAAAAATCACCTACCCAAAAAGAAGAAGGCGAGTTTAAGTTTCAAGTTTCTCATAACAAAGTAGTTGTATGAGTTTATTTTACAGCATAAAAGTAAAAAAAAAAAAAAGATTCAGATGAAATAGGGAAGCCAGTGGAAGTTAACGTGGAAGAATCTAAGGTCAGACAGGCATGTAATTACCAGACAACCTAGTTCTTGCGTGTATTGACATCTTTTCTATTCCCAATTCGAAATTTCCAATTCCTTGCTACAAAGAACGAGAGATCGAAATTCACCGTTGTTAGTTTATATCATCTGATTGTATATCTCCATCGATAACTGATAACTCGTTCGATCGATTGATCGGAAAAGTAATAAGAATAAGAGGTAGAGACAACTGTGAGATCATCATAGTGAAGGAGACAAAATACTCTGATGTTCTTCTAGGAATCAGCCTCCGGCCACCAGGGCCGATATTACGCCAAGGTGTTGCTTTTTGCATAAACCATATATAATTATCAAACATTAGAGGATTTGTAGTACAGGGGTCTTCTCGCACATCAGATCCGGATGGGGAAGAACTCGGGTATATAAGGGTGTGTATGCAACTGTTGTATAACTAATTGCTAAAGCCTTTATGGCTTGGACCGCCAGTGGCCAAACGGGCATGCTGACAGATTTTCTGGGCTGATCACGAAGTGTGCGTTTTTGACCCGACATGAGAGTTTTTTAATTGGAAACGGCCCAACAAACAAGACTCATCACTACGCTGTGACATAACCTATTTTTCGGCGAAATACCATCGTTTAGGGCCTCAAAATGGGATTTTTTTGTCCGAAAGAAGCCTGTTGAATATTTCAAAATTTTTGTTCGTTGTCTAAATGATCCGGATTGCACTCATATTTTATATTTAATAGTTTTATTTTATTAGGTTTCTTTCTCTATTTTTTAAAATTTTTTAGAGAAACTTTATTTTTAGTCTTATTTTCGAATATTAATATCATTTCGGGATTATGTTTCCTTATATTATAAGGATTCGAGTTGCAGTTAGTTTCCTTAAGGATTATGGTTTTCTTTCATTATAAATATGTGTAATGCCGAGATCAGAATCAGTCATTCAATTATCAATACAAATATCAGATTTCTTTGAAATTATCCCTCGTTTTGTGGACTCAAAACACCCTACTTTGTAGATTCAAAGTAAATCGTTCCTTGTGAACAAATTTATTGCTTCCACTTACATCAGCAGCAGTATCTAACAACTTAAACTTTTGGGTCAGAAGGCACTTGCTTGGCCCGGTACAAGTGGTATTAGAGGCAGACCCAATCCTAAATCCGGTGTCGCGCTAAGCGCTCACCTGGGTGGAGCCCAGGTCCGGGTTGAAACTGAGTCCTCCCGTCTTTAAAGGTATGGGTAGGCAGAATGGTCCGATTGCAATGAGGGCGTTGATAGTTCAGGTGAGAGATAATGATAGAGGGGTCTTCTCCCACATTAGATCCGGACGGGGAAGAACTTGGGCATATTAGGGCAGGTATGTAGCATTACCCAACAACTTAATCTTTTGGGTAAGAAGGCACGTGCTTGACCCGGTTTTTGCTCGAAACAATACCTTGACGTAATATGCCTAAGGAAACCTAATAAGCCTGAAAAATAGCCTACATCGCTTGACCTTAGATTCTTCTGTGTTGACTACTGCCGGCTTCCCTATTTCATCTGAATACAGTATTTCTTTACTAGCACTTGTTTGTTTGGCCTGACTCCTTAAAGGACAATGAATGGGACTTGGTCATTGTGTGGATTCTCATAAGCTCTCTCTCTCTCTTTTTTTTTTTTTTTTTTCCCCTAGTTAGTACTCACACATCCCCCCCTCCAAGGAATTGTTTTCACCTAGCAGGAATGTCTCAGATGTTTCAAGAGGCGCCAAGACCGAAGTCTTTTCCAACTAAGCCAACCCCTTAGGGCTTGGATTCTCATAATCTCGATAATTCTAACCTAACAAGGATATTAATGACATTAACAATTAACAGAGTTTCTACTTATCAAAATAATAATAATGATAACAATAACAATAACAACAGAGCTTCTCTCATTTGATTTTTATCACTGTTTAGGATACATTTTATGTTGTTGGATTTATATATATAAGCTTGACATTTATTTGTTTTGATTTTTTCACTGAAATAAGAAAGCTAGTTTCTTGAGAATATCTGTTGATGTGCTTCATTTGTAATTTTTTTTATTCTTTCTTTTCTTTTTTCAACTGTCTCCGGTTTTTAGACTTTGGGTCCACTTTATAGCATACCCATACCCAAGTTAAAAAAAGATTGTCCAACACCCATTCAATTATTCTCTTGTAAAATTATTTTGGTTGACAATACCCTGTCTTGTTACATTTCAGATCATAAATTTTAAAGAACTTGTAGAATTCAAGGACATTATTGTTGAATCATCAGCACTGTCGTACACCCAATTCCATCAAACCCATTAGTTGGCAGCATTGTATGCCTAATTGGGAGCTCCATTGGGCATGGAGTAATAATAGTTTTTTTTTTTTTTTTTTTCACACACCCATGCCTCCACTGAGAGTCGAACCCCTAGCCTCTCTTTAGGAAGTAGGGGCCTAGTACTGCTAGGCCACTGGCCTGTTGGTGAGTAATAGTAGTTATATATGTACTTGCACAACACAATAAACTTTAAGCATTTATAAAAAGCCAAGATTCTTTGGAGAAAACATGTTGATTGTTATGGTGTTGCTTGTTGAGCTTATAGATCAAAGCTTTGACTTGTCGGATCATGAAGTGCTATCGACTGATGTCTTCTTTGAATCAGATGGACATTTTTTATGACAAAGGTTCTAATGTTTTGTAACCTAGCAAACTAGAAGGCAAAGTAGCACTAATCACTGGAGCAGCAAGTGGCATTGGAAAGGAAACTGCAGCCAAATTCATCAACAACGGTGCCAAAGTCGTGATAGCCGATGTCCAACAGCAATTTGGCCAAGACACAGCCACAGAACTCGGACCGAATGCTACCTTCAGGGCCTGTGATGTCACAAAAGAATCGGATGTCTGTAATGCAGTTGATTACACAGTCTCTAAACACGGTCGACTTGACATCATGTACAACAATGCTGGGATTGCATGCTACACTCCTCCCAGCATAGTTGATCTTGATCTGGCAGCATTTGACCGGGTCATGGCGATCAATGTCCGAGGTGTCATGGCAGGTATCAAGCATGCATCGCGCGTGATGATCCCGCGTAGAACTGGCTCCATTCTATGCACTGCAAGTGTCACAGGAATAATGGGAGGGCTAGCACAGCATACATATTCAGTATCCAAGTCTAGTGTGATAGGAATTGTGAAATCTGTATCGGCGGAGTTGTGCAAGCATGGAATTCGGATCAACTGCATATCACCTTTCGCCATTCCAACTCCGTTTGTCATGGGAGAAATTACTCAGTTCTTTCCGGGGGTTAATGCTCAACGGCTCATTGATATGATACACAACGCAGGCGTGTTAGAGGGAGCATATTGTGAACCTAGTGACATAGCAAATGCTGCGCTTTATCTAGCATCTGATGATGCCAAGTATGTTAGTGGGCACAATCTGGTGGTTGACGGTGGTTTCACGTCAATGAAGAGTTTGAAGTTGCCTGAACCAGATCAGATCCATCAACCGAAAATGTGAGATAGAGCTGTTTTAAACATTTAAGGTCAAGAAGATGTTAGGTTGTTAAGACGAAAACATGCAGACTCCGAGGCTAAAATCTGCATTCCTGTTGCAAAGTCCGTGCCTTGAGATCACAATTTCACAATTTGGCAACTACAAGAGGGTATTTATGAATCTTATGTTGCCAAAAGGAGACAATTTAGAAGCTGAAAGTGATCTCCCATTGAATTTAGATAGATACATGACATCATCCCAATCACATTCATTTCTCTCTTCCATTGTATGCTTCTGAATAAAGCTGTTTCAAGCAGAGGATCTTGAGATCACTTCATTAGAAATTGAAAAGTCATTATTAAGAGTTGCTATCAAATGTAAACCTAATCTGAATTTCAACTTGCAAAAGGAGTCAAATTTGTGGTTCAGGAAGTACCATATTCGTTTTCGTTTTTGCATTTTATGGCAGCAATTGTATACCCTTGCACTACATGATCAAGTGCTAAAATCTGGTCATTGAATGGGATGTCATTTTAGAGGGAACAAATTGTGAGCCTGGTGATATCGCGAATGCATCGCGATGACGGTGGTTTTACTTCAATGAAGAGTTTTGGATTCATGCCTCCACAGCAATAACATCTGACAATTGAAACGTCAAAACCGATTCTTTCTGAATTTAGATTAGAATTTCTGTTTACAATCACATTCATTTCTGAAACTTTGCTGAATCTGTTATGACACTGCTGAAAGTTTGCTCCATTAAATAAAATTTCCCACTAAAGTCTGCATGTGCAATAAACAACACTGTCAAGCTCTTGAAGCCACTGCTCACAAATAAATGATTGTCAACGAAACATTTATATATCAATAAAAGAAAAAGAAAATGGTCCTTCATGAGATGATAAACCTGTTTGATGGTCTCAAGAGTTAAAAGGTTGGCAGATTTGATTTTTGACCAATTATTCAGATCTTCTCATTCAACTAATTGAAATTCAGTGGACAACAATCATAGACCTTACATGTTTATTATAAAGCACAAACATCTTACAAAGTACAACATTTTTCAATCACAACAGAGCAGCATTATTGTTTATGGCACCCTTGGGCTTTTTCTGCTACAAACTCAAATATTATTCATGGACAACATAAAGAAGTCTCTCCTTTATTTAATATCCCAGTATGAATATATGATCACACTGTTTACGCAATGGATGATGAGAGGAACGATAGAAGTAACCTTCACATGAAGCAATTATAATGGTGTCGGGTTCAGCATGCTCGGATCAAACCTACTGACACCTTCTTTTGGACAGACGAATAGCTTTTGTGCGATGGTCTGGAATTCCCTGCATACGCAACATTGTCACGCAATTAGCATATCAGAATAAACATGGACTAACAGAAAGAAAATAAAGCTCAGCTATGATGGATTTCGCACTCAACTGCCATGGGTAATCGTCAATCACCATCATGTCGTCAACATCATCTATGTAGGTTACATGCCAGCCACTGCTTTCGTCAATCAACGTTCCTTTAAAGTCGAGCATATAGTCAAGTTCACGAGTGAGTTCATGGTAGCCACCAAAATGTGCAAGGTTAATTGATCTTCCGAAAGCACTTCCAAACTTCAGTACCTGAGGGGGGAAAACAGTTTACTGTAAGCGAAATTGAAGAAGAACAGCTTCCAAGAATATTTTTTTAATTGCCTCCTTCAGAGAACCTGATCAAGTTGCTCCTAGACACATCGTAAAGAAATCCAAAAATAACTACCTTTGTGTAGCTCCAATTCGCTGTGGAAGAACACTTATCACATTGTTTCTCATGAAGGTTCCCAGACATACTCTCAGATGGCTCTGAAACCTGGATGGGATCAGAAATTGTAGTCTGATATAGAACAGAACAAAGACTATGGATCTCACTAGATGATGACGATGATGATGTAACTTGGGGTGAAGGGAGTTCCTGATGGCCAATATATATTTCGGCTCCAAAAAGCTTGCATGTTTTACTTCCATTTGGTTGAGCTGTTGGAGCTTCAATCTCTTCCTTGTCTTTAGGAGACTTCCAGTTCTGAGACATTGAACCAATGAAATTGATGTTTGGAACAGATAAGCTTCGGCTTGCTTCACCATTTTCATGGGTTCCATGGGATACAAACATAGGAGGATTTTTGCCGGGAAATGATACTATCCCACCAGGATACCGATAACTTGGGTCATACACCTGAAAGCGCAGCTGATTCTCCAATCCGATTTGCATGTGGCCTTGATCAGCATTTGGTTGGGGAATTAAATGTGGTAGTGATGGCTGCGTTGATGAAACCAGTTCGTGAGCACCAACGGCCTTGATTTCTTGATCTTGCAAGACAACAAAGTGTTTTTCAGGTGCATAATCCACTGAGCTCTTCAGTAAGCCTTGGGAATAGGGGGATAAAAGGAATTTGATCATTTACAACACATATAGCAGAACATAGTATGAAAAAAGTATCTCCAATCCAATTTGTCAAATAGTGGCAGTACCTTTTTTTTTTTTTTGGTTGCCAAAAAGCACCCTTAAAAAAATAATATGTAGCAAAAACAGATGGTATGGGGTTACTTACCATCCCCAGGCCGAGCAGGAAATTCAGGAGCTGATGAGTCCAAAGGGCGTGACCTCTTTCGATGGGGTAAAGTAGAAATCTGTTTCTTCCTTTTGAGTTCTATTGGTTCGATGCTCCAAGGAGAAACTCTTTCAGGACCAACAGACGTAGTATCCAATCTGTTGTTGTCCCATTTCACCTATAAAAAGAAGAAGAAATAAGCGAAGACATCTAAAATATTCAAAAGCACACATTAGTTTCGGGAAGGTTAGTAGGCGTCTTGAATGACATATGGAGACCTTGTTACCTTGAGACATCTCCATTCTGAACCAGGCCACCTGGTGTCATCAATATTTTCAATAGCAACTACAGTACCTGAAAATCTGGAACAAGAGACGGCCATAATCAGTAATAGCTTTTTGTTAACCTTGACACTAACCGATTATAGAAAGGCAAATACCATATTTTTTTGACTGCTCAGTCACGACTCTTACCCACTGTATGCAACTCTGTGATTAGCTAATGTAAGAATTGAAGAAATTATTATTGTGAGATGCAAATTTTGTGTGCGCACTTACTTTGAGCACCTTTGTTCTTTTTCACCTTCAAACTGCATTCTAAATCTCATTCCAGCTGAGTAGGTTTTCTCAGCACACTTCATAAATTGATCGTAAGGGATTATAAACTGAGGACTTATCCTGCAGAAGATGAGTTTTTGATTTAAAAATTAATGACACCTAGTAAATGTATTCCATTCAACAATTCGTAACCATAACATAGAACTAGCTTACCAGGGATGGTAGTACACAATAAACTTGGTTCCAGTAGTAACGGCATGCAAGGCATTAGCAAGTATGCCGTGCTGCATGCTGTGGCCAGATATGATGGACGCTGATGCATTGTTTTGTGGTTTTGTTACACGACGGATCCCAACATAGAGTTCTCCATTTCCTCCCCTATGAAACAAGAATTATTTTAATTATTGTTGTTAATATATCAATTGAGTAAGCAACCAACTGAAGAAGGGCAAATATCAGTAGGATTGGCTTGTTGAACCAAAATCAGTAAGTGTTTGGAACTAGGATTTAGTGCGTGTGCGTGTGTGTGTGAGAGGGAGAGAGAACCTCATGAAAATACAAACATCCCCAACAACAAGCTTCTTTGCACTAACAAATGTACCCCAACCACTATTAAGCAAATTTCGCTTTGGATGACCTGCATTTTTAGGTAAAAGAAAATAGATAAGTAGCCAAAGAATGTGGCTTTTACAAGTAAAAAGAATATGAGAATAAGAATAAGAACTTGCAAACACCATTAAACTTGATGACCGCTTGCTAATTGAATAGACATTGAACCAGTCCATTTTGTTCAACATGAGATCTGAAATAACTACACTGTTAACGTTTTAACAAGTCCATTTGTTTCTCTAGACAATTAATATTGCAATGATTAAGATGATGCCTCCAGTTACAATGATTATGCCGAGCTCAATGTATGTACTTATTTGTCAACACTCCCTCTGTTTTGCTCATGAGAAGCGATGTAGTTTCAGTTTTTCTATGCATTATGATGACATTTTCAATGTGGTTCCAATACGTTTTTAGTGTTGAAAAGTTTCCGAGTTCAGCTGATGATACCACGATATATATGGCGGAATTTCCATTCACGACCATGCAAGTCCTTTGCTACTATATCTTGCGTAGGTGTCTGTGTCTCCTGGGACTTGTCCTGCAGCACGAAATGAAATTGTAAGCGAGACTAGAGAATGAAGTTCTGAGTATAAAACGCCCATACGGTGCAAATGTATCCTTCTATTCTTATTAGTTTTTGTTGGCGAGTGAAAAAACAAGAATTCATGAAAGTAACCGGATTCAATAAGCAAATGCTGAAAGCAACAAGATAAGTCAAGATCAACTAGGTGCAAAAATCACATTACGAGATCATTAGATGATGATTATTTCGAAAGTAAATCGTAACAAAATACCAACCAAAGGAGGAAAACATTCTTCAGCAAGTTGCTTAGGAACAGAGAATCCACCGTGCGTGCTTATATCCGAAGCAGTGAGCTTCTTGCTAAAGGAGCATGCACTTATTTTTGAAGGCGGCAGAGATACAGAAGTCCCATCTTTTATACTTGGCTCCCTCTCGGCTAAGGATCGAAAGCTCTAACCACATTCAATGATCAATGATCAATATGTATTATATGAGCATTCAGAATTCACACAAAACAAAAATAGACAGAAAAAGAAGATGTAAATGAATCAACTAATTTATAAACAATTTTAATGCACAAGTTTGCAGCATGGACAAAAAGCATAACAGAAGAATTCAAATGTTTGTCTTAATTTGCAGTCATAACAAAAATTTCCAAAAACAATAATTAAAAAAGTAGAATTGACAGCATTTCTTAGAATTCAGAAATGATCTCATTTAGCAAATATCATCAAAGATTTCAAAAGCAAAAATAAATGGTATAATGATTTCAAAATCATTTCTTTATTTTTTAAAGAAAATATTCTCACATTTTTCCAAACTTTGACATGAATAAAAAACAAATTATGAAACCGAGCATGTATGATCCGCTGAACCTAATTTAAATCTCAGTAGCAAATCAGCCCAACCTTAACTTCTGGAAGCAGAGTAATTTGCGCAAACACCTCATCTGTAGAAGCATCGGCCTGCAAATCAACCGTTAACAAGCATGAATACAATTAATGTACACGGATAAACTAATCCTAAATATATTTCGTTACATTCACAAAAACCAAAATATTTATAAATATAATAACTGTCATGTAAAAGAGCTGATATACCTTCAAATGAACATTGACAACCTTGCAGAGAATCTTAGGTGGTAGATTGTAGGTTGGCATCTTCGTTTCACCAAATTGGTTTGTATTTGTATTTGTATATGCTTCAACCTATATCATAATTGGAATAATAATACATGTATTTGTAAAACAAAACGAATCAATATTTTTTCTATCAAAAAATTAATCAGGCAAGGATACGTGATATTTTATAAAGCATGCACACAAAATTGAAGCAAAAATGAAACCATCTGATATTTATTTACTAGTATTACATAGCATTTTACATGATTATATCTCGATTAGATATAAGCTAAAGAGAGCATGGTCCATATCATCCTTAGAATTATTATTTCACTTTTGGAACAATCTCAACTAATCGAAGTAGCTCCGAATTTATCATGCCATGTTTATTTCCGTTGGACATCTAAAGCCAGCGTTAGACTTTTTTGTGGATTTTTGCTGAGGTTCTGTTTGTTTGGATGTAAAATATTTTAAAGAAAATATATATATATTTTTTGGTGTTTGGTTGTCCTAAGTTTAAGTAAAATATTTTATCAAAACCAAACAAAGATAACTTGTGCTTTTCATTTTGGAAAATAAATAATATATATATATATTTCCTGAGAATTTTTTGAAGTGTGTGGCTAACCCCAATAACGAAAGTTTCGTAAGGGGACTGGAGGAGGCTAGCATGAGACAAAAGAACTTTCTAAAGAGATTCAATTCGAAACTATTATCTGTCCAAGGTACAATATTGAAATAATTTAAGAAGGTTTCTTGACTTTGTCTTGTCAATAAACAATTCGAAATACTTAGACTTTTTAAGAACAAGTCCGGGTCAAATAACAAAGATTCGAAACACTTCTTTTTACACTATTTCAGAAAACCCAAGGACGGACCTTTGCAAAACACCGGAAAATAAAATATATATATATTTACAGATAATTTTTTATATAGAAAATATTTGAGGAGGAACATATTTTATGTCAAAACAAACAAATTAAATGAATAAAATTAAATTAATGTATCAGGGAAAATAAGTAGAGGAGGAGGAGAAAACCTGTTGTATGTGACCTTGAGCGAAGTAGAAAACCCTATCCCCGGCGCTAGGAACATTAACCATAGGGCCACCACAAATATGCCATAGTTTAGAATTCAAATCCTCTTTCTCACCTAAAACCCATGACAGAGTGACATTAACAGCAAAACCAGAATGGTGACCATAAATCAATCATGTTTTGGATATGTATTAAACAGAGACAGAAAACAAAAAGGAACCCATTTCAGACATGAGTTCTAGCTAGATTAATATCCAAAATTCAATTGATTTATTGATTAGGTATTAGGATCAATAGGATAAACAGGAAACTTGAACACTATCAAATACACACACAGAAAAGAGGGTTTTATAGCTTTTTGTCAGGATTTTAGCTGAAAATTTAAGCAATAAAAAATGCCACCATGTACCAGAAATTTAACCATGAATGGAGATCTCAACTTGAAGTTCTACACAAATATGCAATCAGAAAAAGAACCCAGATATTAAGAGAAGTGCCAATCTAGATTAATCAGAAAATGGAGCCCAGAAAAAAGAAAAAGAAAAAAAAAAAAAAAAAACTGAAAATTGTGAACAAAATAGTAAAAAAAAAAATGGACTCCTAAAGCCAAATATATATATATATATATATATAAAGAAATTTTTTCCCTCAACATTAATACCAGTAGCAATAATTATAGGTCTTAATTAAGATCAAAGTTCTCCGAAAAATATCCTTTAATACAAATTTAAAAATATAAAATAAAATATTATTGAATTGGTGTGGTTTGGATTTAGAATTGGTCCAATTAGAAGAAATTTAGTTAAAATTTTGAACTAAATTTCCCTCCAATCCTAAATCAAAGGCACCGATTCGATATACCCAAAAATAACATAAGAAAATATAGACTTGGAACAGATTTTTTGTTATTGACTTATGTGACAAACATTGAGATAAACACTTTAAAAGAAAAAAAATTTATTCTCTATTGACAATTGTTTTCGTGTAAAAAAAAAAAAAAAAAAAAAAAAAATTCAATCTTATATTAAAAAATTAAATTATTCACTAGTGTATTAATTAGAGAAGAGAGACCTAAATTATAGTTCCCAAAAAAATTTGATGAGAAGGGTACCCAAGTGGTCATCGTTTATGCATCTGCTTCTCTCTGTCTCCACTTTGAGGCTCATCCCTTCACCTTCAATCTTGGAACCCATCTCTCTCTACCACTGTTATCTCTCTCTAGAGTGGTTTGCAGTCCGGAAGAGGAGAGTGAGAGAACTGACAAGTGAACTCTTATGGAATCATCATCAGAGCTACCCCTTCTCTCTCTAAAACTATCTTGTTTCGCTCTCCTGTGAGTGCAAGTTTTCTACCATCACACGTATCTGAAAGGGGTTGGCTCTTATATACATGTAATGTACTTGTACACCATACAGTGGTTCTGGTCTGGTAGATACGAGTCATCCATGCAAAGGCTATGTCTTTTGGTGTTGGCGATGTTCACTATTTTTTTCACCGATGATTTCTAGGCTCAATGTCCCCCTGTTTTATTTGCGTCTGTTTTTATGCTAAGGTTGTTCCTTTCCATCATTACATATATACATACATACATATATATACACACAAAAACATATATGCATATGTTGTTGTCTATAAATATATTTGGATATATTGGTGGGCGGAAGAGCCAAGGTAACACGTTCAAAGAATTTTTGAACCTTGTCCTCCTCTGCTGGATAGGGACTCGGGTTGAAATTGGGTGCTTTTTCTTCATGTACACACTCACACAGTTACACACACAAATATATATATATATATATATAGTTGATTGATGATGTTACATTGTTAATTAAGGAAGTGTGAACAACGCTGCTGCGGTGATTTTCTTGGTTAAGTGGTGACATTTTTAATTATTTATAAGATGGATTGGGAACTTCTTTGTTGCATTGCTTGGTATTCACTCTGTTTTTTTAAGTACAACCTGTACAAAATTTAGAATTTAGGACTATTTAATTTTATATCTACAAAATTTAGTGTTTTTTTTTGTTTTTATATGAAAATTTTTGAGTTGTTTTCATATATAAACTCAAAAGTCATCATCCGTCTTTATTTTCTTTTTTCTTTTCTTTACTTATTTCTTAAGGCCCGCTTAGTTAAATGGAATTTAAGAATGAAAAGTGAAAATGAAAGAATGAAGTGAATGACTTAATTTTTTATATTTGAAATTGCTACTTAATATTGAGTAAAACTTAAAGGATGAAATTTAGGGAAAAGGAAAAGTAACGGACAATATTTTTGAAATCATAAAATTTTGTTAAAAAATCAAAATTTTGTTTTTTGTTTTTTGTTTTTTATTTTTTATTTTATAGAATTCTTTTTTGCCCATATAAAATTATATATTATGCAAATTGATAGGAATTTGGAAAATCTTAATTTAACTAGTGACAAACAAATCAAACTAATTCCAGATTTGAAAAACGGTTTGAAGTTGAACAAATCATTATGCAACCAGAGCCCACTTTTATTTAATTTCATAGTAGGCCCACCAAGTGCTTCGTGCACCAGACAGGCCTGAAGGCGCTATAACTAAACTGGAGGCCCAACCACAAAATTGGTTACCATCAGTTTCTTCATTCTTTTTGGTAGTTTTCTTCCAAATCCAGTCCATCATTTTCTTCATTAATTTTTTTGTAGTTTTTTTCTAAAGGCCCAGCCCATCAGTTTCCTCATTCTTTTTGGTAATTATCTTCTCAGCCCAGCCTAGCCCATCACTTTCTTCATTCTTTTTTTTGTAGGTGTCTTCTAAAAGCCCAGCCCACCAGTTTCTTCACCCTTTTTGGTTGTTTTATTGCATTCAGGATATAAAGATGGTTTGGATAGTAAAAGTCGCATTAATTATAAAAATTGATGTTATTGCTATGAATGCAGAACAAAACTTTAAGAATATCAATTATATATGAGACCATAACTCACAGGGTGTTACCTATTTTTAAAGATTAAGAGTAATGTTAAATTGAGACTTTTCTCATAATACCAAGGGTCTTGGGGCCAATGATATCTTCTACCTTCTAAAATGGATGACGAGAGCTCAAGTGCGAGTTTCAAAAAAAAAAAAAAAAAAAAAATAAATAAATACTTTCCTCGAGTCATGAATTCTTTATAAAAAGTCAAATGAGTAATTTAATAAACTTTTCAATTCAAATGAGCCCCTGACAGACATGGTTGTGAAAAGATTTTCCCTGTCATTAATCAATGCTATGAGAGGTGAATGGGTAGATGACTTCAAACTCCAATTCACCTTTTCCTTGAATTGTGTTTTTACCATTGAATTAATTATGCCATTTTAATTTCTTTTAAGGTAAGATATATTTTATGGTATTTTGTTACCTTAAGCCACATTTTTGCCGATCTTTTGAATGGGGAAGCGAAAACAATTGCATTAAATGAATGTGACTCAGCCATTCTCAAGTATTACTTGTGTTGATATAAGGTTCTATAATACGAGGAATCACTTCAATAGCAACGAGGATACCAAGAAATAGAGGCCTAAGTGGAGCACTGAACTGTCGCAAGGGGTCCTCACGTGGAGGAATGAGAAAGAGGTGGTGGGGTTCGGCTCTTGATGACCTCTCTAAACTGTTTTAGCTCTTTTATTTTTTCCAACTACTATTCCTCAAATCATTCCTTTTATATTGCTCTCTAGTAAAGGAATGTCAATATTAGATACGACACGCTAACATAATACGAACACAAAATAAAATAATTTAAATTTGAACTAAACGTATTCGTGTCAACACAAATTGACCCGCTAATTAAAGGCGTCGTGTTCGCGACGCATTTGATGCTGTAAATATGATTAACCGCGTGTTCGCGACGCATTTGATGCTGTAAATATGATTAACCGGACTAATTATACGTCTCAGATGTGTTCGTGTAAAAAATGAACCATTTAGCTAAACATGTAAAATAAATAAGTTGTATTCATGTAAAAAATAACTTAAAACGTATCTTTTCGTATCGACACGAATACGACATGCCAAATCTTAATCCAACCATTTATTAAACAGATTACATGTGCAGACATGAATTGCCATTCAACTCACCCCTTGTCCTTGTGATTACCCAACCGTTAAATAGTCTAGTTGACCATATGCTGTCATGCTCTAATTGGTTGGTCTGATAAAGTAAATTTGGGCACCTGGTGCCAGCTCATTCGCAACACCTAATTTGCACGCATCTGACTCTCGAGCATATGCACAAACCACTTGATTGCATTACTATAATCAGAAGACCAAGAAAGCAAAATTTAGACGTCAAATTTTCAAACTCCTTTAGACACTTGTACCTTTTGCGATTAAGGACAATATTAATTTTGTTGTATTAATTTGATTCTTTGCTTGTTACAATCTAGCTATCTAACCCAGCTTAGAGTAGTTTTGGTTTGTTAACTTTGTCTAGTCACCGTATGACTGACTTATACTGAAGATGTATCTTTAGCCCTTCCGTTAATTTTGCATGCGCAACACATGTTTTTTCGATTCCAGACAGGATCAGGACAGTGCATTTTGGGCAAGCAAAGAAATTAAGGTAAGGAGGTACTAACATTTAATTAACAGAACATATGTCGAACATAATGATATATATTGAACATAATGATATATATTAACGTCTCCCTCATGAAATGCCATTATCCTAGGAAACATTTAATTAACAAAACATACTTCAACATAATGATATATATTGACGTCTCCCTCCTCAAGGCATAGAATGCCATTATCCTAGGAAAAATTTATTAGCCGACTGCGTTAGTGCATGAGTTGGTAATTTTCTCTATGTTTTGCTCTTTTAAGTACTTGATTATGAAATATCGGACATGTTTTAAAGTTTCCATCAAACTTGATTATGCAATCAAAGTTTGATAAACATGTGTAATATTTCAAGAGCAAAATTCTTCCAACCGCCAACTAGTACACCGCCGCAGTCTCTGAAATAAATCTGACTTGCAATGTATTCTCCTTGACATGTAGAGGTTAGAGATGCCTGTGAGCCCATACAACAGGGAGTGTCTGCAGAGCCATCACAAATAGAGAGTTAAGAAGAAACTTCAACATCATCCAGCTAATTGATGTAGTTGTTGAACTATTTTGCAAACATAAACAAATTCTTCTTGTCAAGATGTTTTCTCATGGTTAAAAACTCGAAATGCAAAAAAATAAATTATCATCCATCCCATATGGGAGTATCCCCCAAAAATTATTTTTTATTATAATCAATTTTAGCCCAGCCAAAAAATAAAAAATAAAAAATTTATTATTAATATTAACCCACCCAAAAGAATATTAACACACTCTATTGATAATTCCTGAATGGGCGTATAGGCGTAGCCTTCGTTTTCAACATCATCATGTGAAATATCAAGGTAACTTCAACAAAACAGTTCATTATGTTATTCACTCTCTGACACTGCCTCGTGAAGTTTGTCCAACAAGTTTATAGAGAATTATTATTATTATTTTTTTTGAATTATTACATATAAATGGTGCTAATGACCCATATTTACTATTTAATGGAGTAAAAATCTAATAATTTTAAAAAAAATGAAGTTGACTAAAATGTGTGAACCTGAAAAAACACTGTTTACCCTTATTGAGATACCATTTTTAAGCACATAAGCATGCACGGAGGTACCATTTTTGTTTTGGGCAGACATAAACCACTTTTATCCACATATGTATCACTTTTTGTGGATCGGGTACCACTTTTTTGTGCAAAATAAAAAGTAGTACCTAATGGCAAAAAGTGATACCTGCATACACAAAAAGTAGTATTTCAGTGAGGATAAACAACATTTTTTATGTCTTCATTTTTTTAAAATTATGAGACTTTAACTTCATTAAATGATAAATATGAATTATTAGCATCATTTATATGTAATAATTCTTTTTTTTTTTTTTTTTTTTTTTTGGTGGTAAATAAATTTTATTAGAACAAAACAAAGACACAAACAACATGCCAAAGCCCATCCAAACGGACAAAATCTATGATTGATTAGTTGAAGACACAAACAACAGGCCAAAGCCCATAGAAAGTCCAAACGGACAAAATCTATGATTGATTAGTTGAAAGTACTTGAAGAATGATAGATTCATCCTGATACATGTTAAACAAATTTTCTTATAATTAAAAAATATATATTTATGATTTTTTTTTCAAAGCTACTTCCCTCTTAGGAGAGAGAATTGGCGAAGTATAGTTTGCTTAAATCTCATATTGTTTTTCATCTATTCAATTAATGGGAGTACATTCTACATAGTGTTACCCAAACAAGAAAAAAGGCGATACTAAGTTTCGAAATTGGTCATATTTTCTATTAGAAAATGAAGAAAAAAACAATTAGCAAAAAGGAACATCGACTGAATAAGTTGAGTACGTATATATATATGTCCAAGAAATATACTAACCTGGCTTTTCCGACTCTACTCATGCCAAAAGCTTTCTTCTTCCCGAATACGCCTATAATTATATAATTAAAGTTAGAAAAACTCAAAAGATACATTAAGTTTGAACACTTGAAATCATTAACAAATAATTAGGAGATCGAATACCATTTGACCAAATGACAGAGCAATCCGTCTGTGAAAAAAATGACAGAGGCATTGCTATCCGGGAGGAGAAGAACTCGGGAGAGGCAGAGAATAGCGCGGGAGTCTCCACACAGAACTTTATCTGTATATATTACTACTATATAGAGAGAATATCAATCAAGCTCTCACAGTCGCCGACAGAGAGAGGACCGTTTTCAGGAGCGAAAACGCTTCTGTTTAGCTTTGTCCGTCGGAGTCAATTTATGGTGTATCTCGATACATATAAAGAAGAAAACAAGTGGATCTAACACGTGTTTCCTTGTAAGTACGCATGTCGGACACGTACAATTATGGTGTATCTCGATACATATAAAGAAGAAAACAAGTGGATCTAACACGTGTTTCCTTGTAAGTACGCATGTCGGACACGTACAATTTATTTTAACGTATATAGGGCGCAAGAGGGCATGTTCAACATGTAGAAAGGTTCTTTTCGGAAAGGAAAAAAAGAATTTCACAATGCATAGTAAAAATAATTATTATATAAAAGAATACTTGGAAAAGTAGAAATATGAGAGGAAGAGCTAAGATGGAGTGTGGAAGAGATATATTATTATTATTTTTAAATTTTAAAAATAATAAATAAATTGAAACTTCATGCATTTTTATTAATAAAAAATATGGATTTACGTTATGTTTGTATATATAGGTGAGATTTGAATTTTGTTGGCTAATTACTAATTAGCATCTAGTGTTTAGTTTGAGGGATGCTGAAAAGAAAAGAAAAGGAAGAAAAAAAAAAAACGAAAAAGAAAAAGAAAGAATACTTGCTTTCATTAATAATAGTAAAAATGTACTTTAATTTTAGTTGGTCAGCCTTAAAGCTGCTCGATTTCCAAACTTGTTGCGATTTGGGGAAATTTTTTTTTGAAACCCAATCAACTCATTTGAATTTGGTCTTTGGTTATCTTTATTTAAATCTACTCAAGCCTCTCTAAATTTTGAGAGCTGATATTGGCGTTCTGTAAAGATCATTCCAACTCATTATTTTTTTAAATAAAAAGATCAAAATGTCATTTCCTCTGCTATTTAGCCAAAGACAAACTGCTGCTTATCTATTTTACTTTCCTCTTCGTAAACATACTGATTAAGACCCACACACAAAAAAAAAAAAAAAGAAAAAAAGAAAAAGAAAAAGAAAAAGGGCACACCATTCATCAATGAGTCTTAGTCATCAAGAAGACAGACTCAGAATACCAGGAGGGATTGAATTAAACATTAGTTTTTAATAGATGAAAACATGTTTCAATAATCCAAAACTAGAGGAATTTAGGATATGGTATGAGATGAGAGGGTATTTTGGTCTTTTTCTTTATGAAAATAATGGACCAAAACTGGATTTTTATGGAACGCCAGCTCCCTAAATTTTTAATGTCAGGTGGACTATCTTATCTCATAGTTTAGTTACCTTATCTATATCAAGGTTGCTTGTCAAATTATTGGGAAATGTCAAACATTGATTTTCTTCTTTTTGTTGAGTCAAATTGTTTTTAGTCTGAGCTAAGCATGTAATATTATTTTCATTTGTAAAAAAGTTCTATCAAGCTTGGAGTAAGCATCCCAACCTTTTCACAGCTTGACCTTTTAAAAAGGGAAGTAAAGTTTGTTCAGCGCCATTCAACTCATCTTTTAATAACAAAAATATATTTTACGAGTTTCACTCATCGGCCACTTCTATTTTCCCCAATAAATTAAAATTAGGAATAATATGTATAGAGATCCAACTCCAAATTAGGAATAAAATGGTCTCAGACAAACTACAGCTTAGATGAACCTGATTGTACTATATAACATTCAGATATAAGAAGGTTTGGGTAGTAAAAATGAAAGTTGATAAGTGTCAATTAGTATATACTATCAAACATTGAGAGCATCTCTCTTCTATACTAATAGGGTGTTATACTAATAGGGTGTTATTTTAAAAGATTTAAGAGTAATATTATATGAGAGTTGCTCTTCATATTTAACTACTTAATTGAAACAAAATTTTGAAATATGAAAATTTAAATAAGTTATTAAATAAATCTTTGAATTCAAAACTGGAATACATATTCGGTGTGCACGGTGCACAACACAATTGGCTAATTATAAGTTTCCCCTAAGATACTTTGATGGCATACCATCCCTTGAGGAGGGAGAGCTCAATATCATTGGCGAAATTATGTGTTTTGGTAGAGAATGCAACCGTCATTTGCAGTGTCTTCTCTTTTTACTCTCAGTTATTGCTCTTCTATTGAATACAAGTTGCAGGGAAAGGGCTAAAGGTTTGCGGATGGATCTTTGTTTTGCATCTGAATCATTAACAAATCAAACAAAACAAATTAATATTTTTTTTTATTTTAAAAAAGAAGTAAACTCAATAAACATCACCACACAGAATTCACAAATTTTTGGCATTTAAAAAATGCACCCCACCATAAAATAGAAAAAGAAAAAAAGAAAAAAAAAAGAAGACTTGTCTATTTATGTAAATGGAATATGCATATAATAATTTTAAGTGATAAATTAGATTTCAAGAAAAGGAAGAAGCATGGTAACAAATAAGCTTCTTGGCATTATAGTACGGTTTGCTAAAGTAAAGGATAATTTGGAAATCAAATTTTGAAGAGACTCACCAGAATTAACTTTTTCTCCCTCTGCACAAAATTATCCATCCTACGTTTTCTTTGATATATTGCATACAACATCACCATCATCATGATGTGAAGAATCAAGTGCAACTTCAACAGAAATGTCCTTAATGCTTTTCCTTGTCTGGCATTGCTCGCGAAATTCCTTGTGTCCACAATTTTTGAGAACATATGAAGCTTTCTTCTCACACAAGCATCGTTGGTCAAACATTAAAACATCAACATGTGATCCCCCAATCTTCTACAAATTTTTCCCAACCATTTTTAAAGAGCAATTTATCCCCATCTAATGTCAATCCTCCATTCCAAGTTGCACCACTTGAACCTTTAAGATCTATGGTTTCCGGCAGTTTAAGTGCCCCATTTTTTTTTGGGGATAACCTGCAATTCCATACACAATTATGCAACCTAAAAAGACTTAGTATAAGTGTTGTAGTAAACATGAATTGACCAAAATAAGGAGTAAACATGAATTGACCAAAATGAATGAACCATCACAATGCAGAGCAGAACTCATGTAGAAAATCAAACAATTAACTAAAGCATAGAAGAGCATACCACCAGGACCCAAAAAAATAAGAAGGAAAAAAGAAAAAAAAAAGAAGTAATCCTTTGACATTGTAGAGGCCTAAAATTTGTGATGGTCTAATCACCGTCGGTCAAGAAGTCAAATATTTCTTGATTAATTAAATTTCACAAATATGGGTTCCATTAATGGATATGTGTCAAAATCCTAAAGGTCCAGGCATTTAAAGAAAATGGCAGTTTAATTCAAATTCGAATTTGAATTAATTTCTATATAAAAGGAAACAAATCCCTTATTTCTGGAAAAATCAATATTGGGGAGTTTCCAAATTTAAAAATCCATAAAACCCATAAATACAAAAAAAAAAAAAAAGAAAAAAAAAGAAAATCTCACTGATCCAACGCGGGGAAGACTCTCCTTTCTGAATAGAGCAATATTAAGTCAAAAAAAAAAAAAAAAAAAAAAAGAAGAAGGAAAAAAACTGCTAGAAAATGCATGTGTATAATCTGGCAGAATAATTCAAAAGTGTGGTAGCAGAAAATTCTGGTGTTTTATCTTTATAGCTGCTGGTATGGTTCTATTGAATCCTCTTGTGTTGGTCTTGCAAATGACAAAATTTTCATTCTAGTATGCTGTAATAAAGAAATCGAGAACATCGGAGCACACATGCTAACATTAGTGATAGATGCAAGCTTTTTACAGGAAGTGCGATGATCTCTTTTTTTAAGAATCATTAGTCATCTACACCTAGTGTGGATATCGCTAGTGCATATTGGAGAAGTTTGTTTGAACGCCAGGAAGATGTCATTTACTCTTTGGGTGATGACTTGTAGGGTTGCAAAGGTTGTACACCGATGCATTTAGAAGATCAGAATGATTTTAATATGATACATATAAAATTTTTTTTTTGGAAGTTCAAATATATATACACACACACACACACACACGCACACAGAGACTCCTCTTTGCTGATACTACATGCAAGATGCATACATGGGAATAGATATTATAGATGCCCATATGGATGGATGGTACTTGTAAGGTGCCCACGCGTGTCAGGATCTGCTTCTCCAAACAAGATTGAACCTCTGAACAGTGAACAAAGCATATGTTTGATAAAAATGATATATATATATATATATATATATATATATATGAAAAGAAGCAGAAACCCCAGAAGGTTTTAGAAAAAAAAAAAAAAAAAAAAAGGTCTTAAGTTTTTTTATCTGAAGAGAACCAAACAATGGGGATTTAGGAACAAGAACAAGTTTTTGATCATTGTCACGATATGGAAGAAGATGGATCTAACACTGAGGATTGTGATATTCGCAAGAAGACCCCACCTTCTGTTGGGTTTGTGGCTCAAAATTTGTGTGCAGAAAATTAGTTTCTTTTTTTTTTTTTTGTTTTGGAAGCCGCGAGAAACAGTTTCCTGATTAGTTTTGGAATCCATAAGACTTGGGGAAAAAAGCTGAAGATTTGGGAAATAAGTTATACCTACTATTTTAGAGTTGAAGATGGATATGGTAACTCCTTGTAGGTAAATTGATTCTTGTCCAACAAGGAATTGGATTTGAGGAATACTTGTCCAACAAGGAATTGAGTTTTGAAAACTCTATAAATAGAGATGAGTATGAGGGGTTTAGAGAGAGAGAGAGAGAAGAGAGAAAAGATGTAAGGGGTTTAAGGGTGAGTGTTGTGAAGAAAAGAGTGAGTATATGTAATTCCCGAGTGTATACATGTAGCCTCATAAGAGACGATGAGTGAGTGAGTGGGGTTTTGATATGTGGTTGTATATTCTCTTCCTTGATTCATAATAGTGAAATCTCTCTTTCCCATGGACGTAACCTTAAAGTTGGGTGAACCATGTAAAATATTGTGTTGTGTGTGGATGTGTGTGATTGTTATCTCCATATATGTTTGTGTTGATGTGATGTGATGATGCTTCCGTTGTGTGTGATGAAGGAGGGATTTATCTCTCAATAACAACCGACCGTTGAGTGGGTTGGAGGGAGTTCATTATCCCTAAAAATTGGTATCAGAGCCGATGGTTGGTCAGAGCCTGTGATTGATCTTGAAAATCAGTAGAAGAAGATTGGTGTGAAGTTTGTCAGAGCAGAAGATGATTGTGAGGTACTATGGAGATTTAATCAGAGTTGATGATGACACAAAGGTATGCAGAAGGTGATGGTGTGAAGCCCATGAGGAACAAGTCTTGGAACAAGCTAGAAGATGCTCGTTTTCAAAATGGGGCAAATGTGATAAAGGTGAAGCCCATGAGGAACAAGTTTTGGGGACAAGCCAAGAGTAGTGCTAGTTCACAAGATAGGGCAAGGGGTGTGAAGAATGAAGGGGTTTGCTCTAAGTTCAATAAAGAGTAAAGGGGAATATGAAGAAAAGAGGTTTGTTGTTTTAAGCCAGAAAAACAATTGATGAAGATGAGTTGAAGATTGGTGGGTTGCCATGCGTGAGTAATTGAACACTAATGAGGTGGATAGATAAGATAGAAAAAAATGAAGAATGGTGAATTTGAGAAAAGGTGGAGATTTTTTGTTTCTCAAGTTCATCATAGTGCTTTATTTGAGGTAGAGAAATCTTCAGTTGAGGTGGAGCTATGAAGAGATCCTTGTTCGAGGTGGAGCTATGAAGAAGCACACGAAAATTGAATTTTGAGCCAAGGTGGAGATTGTTGGGTTTGTGGCTCAAAATTTGTGTGTAGAAAATTAGTTTCCCTTTTCGTTTTGGAAGTTGTGAGAAACAGTTTCCTGATTGGTTTTGGAATCCACAATGTTGCCCAAGAATGGACTCTAGAGGGGGGGTGAATAGAGTCCTTGTCCAACTATGACAAAATCAAAATTTTCTAAAAATTTCAATAAATAACTTAAGCAGATAAACAATTTTATAATGACAGACTTATGCTAAGTGGATCAGTAAATAAACATAAGCATAAACTGAAATGTAAAGAGGAGAGTCAAAGAAATTGCAAACATAGACACAACGATTTTAGCGAGGTTCGGAAACTCCTACTCCTCGGCTTAAGACCCCTCTTGAGACTTCCCAATCCAATATGGCTCCTCCTTACGGGTGGAGAGCAAACCTTGAATAGAAGTGATTCCTTTCTCCTTCTAGCTAAGAGACAGTCTCTCTTAGTCTTTACTTAGGGCTAAACCAGCCCTTCACAATAACCTTACCAAGAGAATTCCTTCTTTTAGTTTTACAATGAAGTATAGAAGTGTTTTACAAATATCTCTCTCTCAACTTGTAATTACAGTGAACACTCTCTAGAGAATCAAATGATACAATTGAAGCCCACTCTCTTTAAATGATGTAAGTGTGTGAGAGAAGAAATATCAGAAGTTTAGCTTAGAAAATGAATGAAACACGGCCAAACTTTTTACTCTGCAAGATGGTATGAATAGCTCGTTGTAAACTCAGGCTCACGCACTTGCATTGCAGCTAATTTATCATAGCATATATAGAATTCTTCCATAGTCAATAGCTGTTGTAAACCTTTCTCTTGATTAAGACATGACATAGCAACATTTGGCAGAAAAGCTTCTTATGACAGAGATACCTTGTCTGACAGAGGTGTTCAGTGCATAGGGCAGATATTAGATTTGGAATCATATGAATGGCTTTTTTATAGATAATATAGTTGTTGACCTTAAGATAAGAACATTAGCTCAGCTAGATGACAGTCAACATGTCAGTATACATATGTGAAATGATCTGCAAAAGCATAAAAAGAAGCACGGGTTGAAATATGGAGGATTTCTATACCAGATCTATTTGACTATCAAATAAGTCGACTTAATTGAGAACTGAGTCAGCTCAGTTCAAGAACAAGTCGGCTAGGTTCATAATTGAGTCGGCTGAGTTGTATATATTCAAGGTTCTAAAAGTGATAGGCTTTGGTTTGATTGAGTCAGCTGGGTTGAGAAGGGAGTCGGCTCAATTGTGAACTGAGTCGGCTAGATTATTAATTGAGCCGGCTTAGTTGTCTTTTGATCTTAATGAGCCTCAACCTAATTAAATCGGCTGAATTGTGATTGAGTCGGCGCAGTTGTGAACTGAGTCGGTTGGATTGCTAACTGAGTCAGCTTAATTGACCCTTAGCCTGTTTTCTTGCTGTTCTGTGATGCCTCAGTAATTGGATGCTCAGTGTGAATGATTGGCAACTTTAATTTGCATGAATGTAATGATTTGAAGTATGTGAGTGATGCATGATTTTAAAATGAGCTTCAAATGATCTCATAGATTCTTTACATTTTGTTCCTAAGTCACTCCCAGTCTGTTTACCCCATAGGTAAGCATTGCTGTTCTTTGAAGTTGCATGGACTTCCTTGTGCCAGTTGAATTTTGCTTTGGTGATATTTTCCAGTGATTTCAGCTCCAATGACTTGGGAGTAATCTTGTGTTTGAAATATTCTTCCTTGCTCACAATGTTCCTTTTGATCTAGATTTAAACTCAATGTAAACATTAGTACATTGAACATCATTAATAGTTTGTTATCATCAAAAGTACCAGATTGCCCTTAAGAGAAATCCGTAGAGTCAACAATATACCAGGTTTCAGGATCAAGCGCTTTACCACTGCGCCAAAAGGTATAGTTATTACCTAAGGTGTAACTTTATTTCCTTATACTAGCAGCGCAGAGCCCCACACTAAGTGGCAGGTGGACATG